TTCCATTGCCGGGGGCAACCCTAGCCTTCTGCTCTTTACAGCTCTGTGGCTGCCACCATTTCTGTTTGGATTTATGTATTTTCTATCATTGAAATGTTGTAGCAATGAGCGGAGGCCTAGGCTGGCAAGGGCAAGGAAACCCAAGCCTCCTTCCTGTGGCCGTAGCCATTTTGGTTGAGTTTATTTGCATATTCGCTCCTGATTGGCTGGTGGGCATGGCTTGTGGGTGTGGTGGGGTGATGGTTAATTTGCATGTTACTCTTTTATTAAATAAGATAATAAAGGGCTAATATGCAAATTGACCAAACGGCAGAATGACCAGACTCTATGACGTGCACTGACCACCAGGGGGCAGATGCTCAATGCAGGAGCTGCCCCCTGGTGGTCAGTGTGCTCCCATAGAGGGAGCACTGCTCAGCCAGAAATCCTGAGCCAGGCATACGCCTGATGGCCAGGCCTAAGCCATCAGCTGGACATCCCCCGAGGGCTCCTAGACTGCAAGAGAGCACAGGCCGGGCTTAGGAACTCCCCCACAATGCACAAGTGTCGTGCACTGGACCTCTAGTTCTCTTATAATTGGAGCCTTTTAAGTGATTTCAAGGACACTGAGTTTGCTGTATTGAGATCTGAAGTCAATGGGCACTGCTGTTTCACATTGATGTGCAGTAATAAACATTTACCTGGAATACTGCATTTTGGGAAGAGGCCTGGCATGAGATATTAATTCATGTGCTATCAGCATATAAAATGTTTTTAAATCTTTGGGGCTGATGAGGTTCTGTTTAAAGTGCACAAAACCTTCATAATCTTTATCTAAATATAACATAGGAGTCAACAGCAGAATTCCCAGATATAACACAAGTAATGGAAGTTACAAATAAGGGCTTCAAATAAGTATGATTTATGTTAATAAAGGGAAACAAAGATATAAAGAATGAAAAAAATGTAATATTTCAGTGAAGTATTACAAAACATCAAATTATTCATTCTGAAATAGCAAGATATAATATTTTATATTAAGAAAAGATCAGATAAATATAACAGATGACCTCCAACAAAGAGCAAGACCAATGAACTTGAATGAAGTTTAATAGAAACCTATCAAAAAAGGCATAAAATGAAACATGCAGTTGAGTCAGAAAGATATCTTAGGAAGTGCTAAGAAGTATTCTAGCATATACTTGAGAAGAAAAATAAAATAGAGACAAAGCAAATTTTGAAGAAATTATTTCTGAAAATTTCCCAAATATAGTAAAGGATACGCTCCCATAAATACAGAAATCTTAGCATATCACAAGTAGAATAAGTTGGTATAAAACAATACTTAATCATATTATAGTGACATTTCTGAAAACCAAAGATAAATATTTTTCAAACTCAGGGGAGAAAATTTATTACCCATTACCAACAAGAGTCATTCCTTTAGCTAGAAAAAGAAACATCCTTTAGTGTCTTGCAGAATAGACCTGCTGTCAAGAAAGATTCAGGTTTGGTTTGGTTCGTTTGTTTGCTTACTTGTTTTATTTTTTATTTTTGTTTCTGTCTGGGAAGATGTACATTTAATCTTAATTTTAGAAGCATATTTTTCTGTATATAAAATTCTTGATTGAGTTATTCTTTTCAACACTTTACAGATATTAGTCATTATCCTCTGACCTCCATAATTCCAACTGAGAAGTCAGTTATTTTTATTATTATTGTACTAGAGGCCTGGGACCCTCACTCCTTACCACCCACCTATAGCGGAGGCGGTCAAAAGCAGAATTTGGAATGATTAAATAAATTTGCCTCTAGCTGCTCAGTTTTTTGTTTAATAAAATATACTTGGCTATTTAACTATGATATTAAAATGACTCATTATAAGCTATATTAATTAATTTGTCAACTTTAGAACTTTTTAGAGAAATTGATGTTCATTTTTCAAATCAGTTGCAAAAACACAGAAAGTCAAGAGGAGGTGATCACACAAAGATGTGAATAGGAGGGGTTGGCTACTATGGAACTCACTTTCCCTATGCTTTTGTCTCACTCCTCTTTTTCTCATTTATAATTAAATGTTGGTATACAGGCTTTTACATCAGGTTTTATTGGAAGAACCCAGGCTACTGAAACTACTGAAGTTGCCAAAAGCAAGTGGTAGAGAGAACTTAGCTTAAGATGGAAAAGTAAAAATTTTATCAATTAACGTATTTTTATGTTATATGTATTATATACTATACTCTTACAATAAAATAAGCAAAAGAAGAATGTTAGCCAAAACTGATTTGGCTCAGTGGATAGAGCATTGGCCTGAGGACTGAAAGGTTCCGGGTTCGATTCCAGTCATGGGCATGTACCTTGGTTGCGGGCACATCCCCAGTGGAGGGGTGTGCAAGAGGAAGCTGATCGATGATTCTCTCTCATCGATGTTTCTAACTCTCTGTCCCTCTCTCTGCCTTTCTGTAAAAAATCAATAATATATATATATATATATATATATATATATATATATATATATTTTTTTTTTTTTTTTTTTTTTTTTTTTTTTAAAGAAGAATGTAACCGGTTTGGCTCAGTGGTAGAGCGTCGGTCTGCGGTCTGAAAGGTCCCAGGTTCGATTCCGGTCAAGGGCATGTATATCGGTTGCTGGCACATCCCCAGTGGGGGTGTGCAGGAGGCAGCTGGTCGATGTTTCTCTCTCATCGATGTTTCTAGCTCTCTCCCTCTTCCTTCCTCTCTGTGAAAAATCAATTTTAAAAAAAAAGAAGAAGAAGAATGTTATTAAGAAAATCATGAAGAGAAACCACTTTACAGTACTTATTGAAAAAATCTACATAACAGTGGACTCATGTAGCTCAAACCCTTGTTGATCAAGGGCCGACTGTATTTGGCTCACCATTGTCCTACCATCATTATCTCAGTGTGAGGAACATAGTAAGTGATAAGTAAATGATAACAATAATGACATAGGCAGCCTGTCAAATGTTCAAGCCAAAGCAGATCCAAGTCTAGAGCATTCATAACCCAGAACTTTCCTGAGAACATGTCCAACAGAAATGATTTCATCTGTTCCCCAAAACCTATGTGCAATAATATTCATGGACTAACTATTTACTACAGTCAAAATCTCAGAGAACTAGAAATACACTACCAGAAATGCGATAAATTGTGATAGGTTTATACAATGTAATGCTATAAAACAATTAAAATTAATGAATTCATTCAAACAACCTGAATGAATCTTATATAGTAATGAATGAAAAAAAGGAAAATTAAAAAGAATGCATATTTTGTGTGTGTAATATACATATATATTGCAATTTTGATTGTATTTATCCATGTACTTTTAAATATTATTCTTTAGAGAATTAATATTACAAATGAAAGGCTCTTTGAGTCATTTACTTGATAAATTACTTGAAATATTGGCAATTTGCATAACATAAAAGGCTATTTTTTGTGATAGTTCTGCTTTTGTCTAGTATAGTATCGATAGCAAATCTCATTTTACATTGTCTCATTTATGTCACAGTACTTGTTCTTTAAAAATGAGGAATGTATGTAGAGGATAATATGAATAAATACCATTTATTGAGCTACTATTATAACTCATGGATTCGGGTTAGGGTTAGGGTTAGGGTTAGGGAAATATTCTGCATTTTGCAGAATATTTCCTCTTCACAACAAACTGTGAGCTTAGTATTAGTGAATTTATTTTACACATAATAAATCTAAATTACAAAGAATTTAAGTATATTATAAATGTTTGTATGTCTAGCAAATAGCAGAACTCTGTAAAACAAACAAACAAACAAACACACACACACAGCTTTATCTGAATTCAAAATCATGGGTTTTAATCATTGCTTGATCATAGAGTAATGTCTACACAACAGACTTCCTTATAAAAGGGGTGCTTTATATGAAAGAAATACATTTCCCTCTTTAAAAATGCTTTTCACAAAACATCATTATTTTGAAAGTTAAATATTCCCCTTTGATACAGTTTAAAAATTCGAAGGCTGAGTCTCTTTATATATCCTTTCCCACTATTTCTTTACTGTGTTCTATCACTTCAAAATTAAGTGTTGGAGTTTCATGTGTGATTAAAATGGTTATTTAACTTACCTCAAATCTCTTAGTTTAAAAAGCAAATCATTTCTGTTCATTTATAGCTTTAATAGCATTTGGTCAACTAATCATCCCAACAATTATAGTCTGTTCTTATTTGCCAGAATGTTTAGTCTAAGTGTTGGTCATTTCCCATAAAGACAATTGACCAAAGCAATGAGAGGAGATGTATAATTTTTCCAAGGACTCTCAGCTACTTCCATTCTTTTCTCTACTTCTCATCTCCATGATCTATGGATCTCCAAGTACACTCCAGAAGCAGAGAAAGAAAGCCACTGAGAAAATTCCAATATGCCTATGTATTTTTAGCATGACATCCTCTGGGTTTTGTTCAAGTTCCATTCCAGTCACATCCTTAATCTTCTTTTTCCTTAAAGTCATGGCTCATGTTCTTCCTAATTTAAGTTGGTAATGCCTTAGAAAACATCACCAACTATCATGGAAATATGCAGGAACATAACCAAATATTTTAAATGTAGATTAACTTTTTAAGATGACAGTTGCCAAGTTTAAAATATTTAAATAACTACTAGGTAATCGATCTCTCTCAATGCCTATATTTTAAATATTCTGCTGAAATCTTGTTTTACTCTACATTTTTGTCTACAAGTCCTGATTATGGACTATATAAATGTACTCCCTCATCTGAGAATATTTAACATACCATATTAAAAGTGTGTGCAGCATGCAGATAGTTGGGAGACGTTTTTACTTTCTGTGCAGCACTGAGGAGGGAGGAAAGCAGAATGGCTTTCTTGGGAGGGAGTCACAGGGAAATTTAAAGATGAAAAGGATGCCCTACAGCATGCCTGTGTATCTTGTGTGGATACTGGGTGACATGAGTCCTCAGGTCCCTTTAAGCTCACTTGTATCCTGATTCCATAATGCTTTCATGAAGTTCTCTCCTTTTCAAGCACCCTCTTCAGAGCAGCTTTGACATCTCTGTTCCTCAGACTGTAGATCAGGGGATTAAGCATGGGATTGAAAAGGCTGTGAAAGAGGAGGAGATATTTCTTCTGCTCCGTGGGGTCGCCATGTGAGGGCCCGACATACATGATAATGGCTGTGCCATAAAAGAGTCCAACCACACACAGGTGGGAGGAGCAGGTGGAGAAGGCTTTCCAGCGACCCTCCCCTGACTGAATCTTCAGGATGGCACGTAGAATCTCAATGTAGGATATCATAATGGAGGAGAGTGGTCCCACCAGCACAAACACTGCCCCAGCCAAAACCATAATCTCATTCATGTGGGTGTCTGCACAGGCAAGTTTGAGAACCGCTAGAATTTCACAGAAAAAGTGATTCACTTTCTGGGGTCCACAGAAGGGCAATGGTAAGAGTAGCACTATATGTACTAGGGCCAGGAGGGCTCCTAAAGTCCAGGAAGTCACTGCCAGGATGGAGCAGACTCTCCAGCTCACGAGGACAGAATATCGGAGTGGGTGGCAAATGGCCACATACCGATCATAGGACATTGCCACCAGGAGAAGACATTCAGTGTGAGCAAAGGTCAAGAAGAGGAAGGTCTGCATCATGCAGCCAACAAAGGAGATGGACTTGGCTGGAGTCAGGAGGTTTACCAGCATTTGGGGCACTGTGTTGCAGGCATAGGACATGTCAACGATGGCCAGGTGTGAGAGGAAGAAGTACATGGGTGTTCGCAGTCGTGAGTCCAGCCAGATGAGGCCCAGAATCACCCCATTGCCCAGCAGGGTGAAGGCGTAGAATAGGGAGAAGAGCCCAAAGAGGAGCATCTGAGTCCTTGGGCTGAGGGGAAATCCCAGCAGGAGGAACTCTGTGACTGAAGACTGGTTTCCCCCCATTTCCCTGGGGAAAAGACAAGAGTGCTGACAGCTGAATGCTCGGGGGAGAGGAGGGTTATCGTGACTAACATGGTGGATATGTGCATTGTTTCTTTCCTCAGAAAATATCTCCAAGGATATCTTTGTCCTGTTAGTCACTTACTACGTGAATAGTATGCATTGCAAATGACCCAGAAGGAAATTTTTATTCACTGTGATAAACTAAATGCTAATATTCTCTTACTACATACAGTGTTCAGTAAATCTTACCTGTATTTTCAAACTTTCACCACTGTTCATAATATGGTAACACTGCAACTGCCTTCATAGCCGAGGATACTTTCCGGGTCAGTGTGATCCCATCAGAGGTTTGCCTGTGTGTGTTCCCACAACACAGTGCACACAGAGACACACTGAAAATCTGGTCTGTGGTCTTTTACTGGTATCTCTATCTGCACATGAGGATGGGAAGACGAACCAGAAGCATGTCCCAGACAGTCCTATCAAGTGATCTCATAAATCTGTGCCTTCATTATATGTATTTCTTGTTAGCCTTATAATTTTTACCGACAGCATAATCTTGAGTTAAGTTGAGAAAATGGCAAGCAAACTGTCACATCTTGATCTGGATTTACTAGTAAAAGAGAGAACTTTGTCTTTTGACTTTTGTGCCCAAATGGTCTATTCTGATCATGTTGTTTCATGATCAGATGTTGCCTGTCACCTTCTTATCCTCCATATGGATATTTGTATTCTATGTCTGTATGTGTGTGTATGATGTATATGTTAGATATAGAGTTATATATATACAGTATATATGCATTCATGCACTTGAATCCTTATTATGGGCAAGTGTGCAAGGTACATGGTATTTTCTACATTATTTCCTACTCTATTTCACCAGTGTAAATGCTGGTTGAATACCTTGATAGGTCATAGCCCAGGATTTTTATGTAGTCGAAGGAACCGCTGAGCTAAAGCCAGCCCTAGCCCAGGATTTTTAAAAATCCTGATCAATATCATAGACCAGTGGTCGGCAAACTCATTAGTCAACAGAGCCAAATATCAACAGTACAATGATTGAAATTTCTCTTGAGAGCCAAATTTTTTAAACTTAAACTATATAGGTAGGTACATTGTTATTAACTTAATTAGGGTACTCCTAAGCTGGCCTTTGCTAAAAACATCCTCAATCTGATTGAGACATGTGGCTCGCGAGCCACGGTTTGCCGACCACTGTCCTAGAATAAAGCTAAAGCTCTAACTATATACTCATATTCATAGAACCTTCAACATATTGTATAGCTTAAATCTAACAGAAAAATATTTATCATGAATCTTAACTTTTTTATGGCTTATCAATTTTTTTAAAGTATTTCTACCACTTTTAAAGGAGTGGGTATTCTGAAGTTTGACTTGTAACTATTAAACCATGGCTTCTGTTTTCTTGTCTAACTCTATATCCTTCTACAATCCAGAATCCATCTGAATTGCACTAAAACAAAAATCCCAGAAAAATTCATAACTGAGTTCTTATCTATCAGTTCCCCATTCAAATTTTCTGATAAGTTAATATTTGCTATGTTTTATAAGAGTGAAGGTTTTATCCTGCTTCAAAAGAAGAATCAAAATTCACAGTAGAAATTTCGGGAGATGATTTCATCTTAGACCAAGAAATAACTTAATAACAATTGCAATACCCTCTTTGAAGAAAACTGTTTTATTAGGACTGACCTTCATGTCAGTGAATGTTTTAAATCAGACACTGATTAACCATCTATTTAAGATGGAATTTCCATGTTATGTGAGAAATTGAACAAGAAGAATGCTGAGGTCTCTTCCAACTATAGGATTCTCTGGTCCTAAATGTATAAAAAAGTGTTCACCATTTTCATTTCAACTTTCTAACAACATTTGAGGCCAATGAAAACAGCAACACTATTTCTAAAATGTCATCGATGAAAGCACACAATAAACTAAATTAGAAGGACCAATGAGTATCATCTCATCTTCCTTGTATCTGCCAGCAGCTAAAACACAAATATAAAATCCACATAAAGATATTTAATAAACATATTGAATGTCCTACCACAGCTGTTGGTTGAGGACATACAAGACAATTGCTATCTACTGGTGTATATAACTTGCTTAAAATGACCAGACTGTTAAAAGGACTCAAAAGATGATAATGCTCATATTTAAATAACTCACCAAATAGCAGCTCACTTTCAAAAATAAACCTTCAGGGCACTCTTGTGTGACAAACTCATTTTGTGGTCAATTAGGTCTATTATTTTATAAAAACATGACTTAATTTCATGAAACAATGGAAAGATTTTCAAGCAAATCTCTCAAATAGCTATCTTATTTTATAATTTAAACATGAAATTCAATACTGAATGCATGAAAGTAAATGATCCATATTAGGTGTATCTAAAAGAGACAGTAACTTTTAAATTATCCTATTTATAAGTAAGTCTATAAATAGCAGACATCTGGCATTGACAGACAATAACAATTCCATTCGTGGTTTTTCATTAGACCCTATCTGAAACTGTACAGTGAACAAAGTCTGGATAATATTTAAAAAACTTACCATAGACTTACAGCTAAAAAACGAGAAGATGAGGTGAATGTTAGTTGGAGTAAGAAAAAATACATCAATAAAGTGAACAGCATATGTGTGTTAGTACTGAAATCCTGTCTCACAAATCCTGTCTCTTAGGAGAAAAGGTGCCCCAACAGAGGCAACGGATTCCGCTCAGAAGAGAAGACTCATTCTCTGCTTAACTTCACCACCTCTCAATAGACTGAGTGTTTGGTGCAGGAGAGGGAGAAAGACCCACCAGGCACACTGCCATCTGCTTCCTTCCAGGGAAAAGGGACTCTCCAAGGACTTGTCTCTGGTTTTCTCCAGAGGAACATTTATGACAAGAAGATGTTGATGATTCCTTCAATCTGGAGCTCCATGAATATCAATTTAGAAGTACTAGAATGATTTCTGGGTCTTATTCATACATTACAATTACCACACACTTGGATTTATTATGTTTTCAAAAACATTTCCCCACCTATTAAACCTTCAAATAGAACATATGGAACTCATCTATTCTTTCCATCCTCTCTAGTGTTGCCTGAGTTCTAAGTTACACCTGACCAGAACATGTAACCTATATAATTTTTTCCATCAAGTAACCACAAGAAATACAACTCATAAAGTAAGACCAGATAGCAGGAGCTATGGAAAGTAATGGGGAACATGTGAAGGAGCCAGAAATAGGATAAACTATCCCAAGGGGACTTGTTAAATCCTGTTTGGTAGAATTTAACTGCAGTGCCAAAAGGGAAGGAAATTTCTCACCACCTTTACACCAGCTATTCTATAATTTCCAGAGATTCTGAGTCAAGGGGGAAAGAAATATCACGTTTCCTCTAGGACTGTAGCTACTACTATTTTCTCCTCATCTTGCAATGAAAATTGACCTCCTTTTACAATTCTAGGAAATGCAATGGAGACAATTTGGTGGTGCCTTTGTGATTTAAATTTTTCCTTTATTTTATCTATATCTGTTCTTTGTTATTAAATACTAGAGGTGGGGGATGTCCCTCAACACAGCTTGTGCCCTCTCACAGGGCTTGCTCCCTCCACTGCTGCTGCACTTGCCCAGCTCAAGGCTTCTGGCTGAGCAGTACTCCCCCTGAGGTAGTGCACTGGCCACCAAGGGCAGCCCCTGCATTGAGCGTCTGCCCCCTGGTGGTCAGTGCACATCATAGCACCCAGTCGTTCCACTGTTACTTCGATTTGCATATTACCCTTTTATTATATAGGATGTTTTTATTGATTTCAGAGAGAGGAAAGAAGAGGGAGAGAGGGATAGAAACATCAATGATGAGCCCTAACCAGTTTGGCTCAGTGGACAGAGCATCAGCCTGTGGGCTAATAGGTCCCAAGTTCGATTCCGGTCAAAGGTATGTACCTTGGTTGCAGGCACATCCCCAGTAGGAGGTGTGCAGAAGGCAGCTGATCAATGTTTCTCTCCTAAAGAGATTTCTAATTCTCTATTGCTCTCCTTTCTCTCTGTAAAAAATAATTTATTTATTTTTTTAATAAAGAAACATCAATGATGAGAGAGAATCATTGATCAGCTGCCTCCTGCATGATGCAACTGGAAACGTGATTCATCGGACCATATGACTTTTTCTAATGCTGGACTGTCCAATCCTTGTGTTCCTGAGCTAACTTGAGACATTTTATCTTGGTAACTGCAGACAGCAAAGGTGTTCGAACAGGCCTTCAGCTTCCATATCCCATGTGATGCAATGTACGGCTAATTTGCCTACAAACATCAAGTGGTCTTAATAATCTGGCCACTCAGTGTATGTTTAACATTAATGGAAAATATTTTCCAATATGCAAATGAAAATTGGTAGTAACAGAGTGATAGTCAACAAAACCTAGAGGCTACAACTCATCTAGGATGAATTGGTGGTAAAATAAAACAAGACACCCACATTTGGACTCAAGGACCACTGAAGAGGAAAGCACCTGAAGGTCTGGCAGGGTCCTGCTTTCTGGAAGTTCTGTGGGAGATGCAGAACCCTCTCTTTCGAAAGAGTGAAAATGGGGCAGAGTCCTGACTGAAAATGGGGCAGAATCCTCAGAAAAGGGGGTTTATTCTCTGATGGGCTCATCCGAGCGGTCAGCTCTTCAGGGCTCACTGCAGTTGGGCTGTGAGATACAGTGCGTGCCCACCTCCACTGAGAAGGAGACAAGCTGCTCTCTTTTCCTATTTCTGCTCTCATCTCTGGCAGGACGCACAGTTAGAAACACAGACAGGCACAGAGCACACCTCTGAAACATCACTCGTTACAAAACCTGAGCCAATCAATGATTCTCACTCATCATTGATGTTTCTATCTCTCTCTCCCTCTCCCTTCCTCTCTGAAACCAATAAAAATATATTTAAAAAGAAATAAAAATACCAAAGTGTACACAAACACAAATATATACAAAGGAAAAT